CTAAGTTATTGCCATTTGTCTCACTGCCTCCAATCTCTGGAGGAGTTTCAAGCTTATTTGCCTAAAGAGTCAGGTAAGTAAAGAGTGAAATGAGCTGGATGAGCACAGACCTCTTTAAATTGTTCCAGACAATTGTTGCTTCATCAGGGATGATGGGGCAGTGTTGAGAGAAATCCAACTTTCCAAGAAAAGCCAGATTCCCAGAGTTTCCACAGGCCATCTCACTTCCCTTGGATTCCTAGAATTGCAGGGACAAAAAGGAGGATGCTCTGTGCCTGGGAGATAGGTTGTGCAAGGTACTGCACTGGCCAAACATCTTGAAGTGGTCCCTGAAGTGATCCGCAATGACTCCTTATAGATAGGTGCCTTGCCCCCTGGTTCATCATCCTAGCCATGTGCCACCCAGAGGAGTGTCTAGTAAAACAGTTCTGTTGAACCAGGATGATGGTGATGAATCATCTAATCTAGACCAATTGAAACTGCACCAGTCACTTGCTCTCTCTGGACTTTGAACTTGTTTGTTTGTTTGTTTCCACTGCATTTATTACTAATGTAAAAAACTTTAAAAAGAAACAAAATTCATTTTCAGTTCTCCAGCGGCTCTCACCCTCCCTCTTGTCCACACAACTCCTGACCAGTCCTCAGGGCCAGTTCAAGACTGAGTCCACTCATTGCCGTTTTCACAGAAAACAACCAGCAGCAGCGACGGAGGTGGGGAGAGGGCGGCAGGACTGTCCAGGTGGAGAGTCACAGAATTCACACGGAAGGCCTGTGGCCTCCCAGGGACTGGGCTAAGGAGCAGGGCTGTGGAGAAAGAGGGTGGGCCCACCAGCGGCTTAGAGCACACCTCCTGGGCCGGTGTCAAACCCAGAAAAAGGGACCCCAGAAGAACGGGGGGCCAGGGAGGCCGTCTCGCGGGGAGTTCCCAGTGCTCCCTGTTGGGGTGGGGAGAGCAGAGAGGCACCAAGAGCCTCGCTGGTTTTGGCAGAAACTCTAGTGTGGAGAAGCCACAGACAGGCCACGGACACTGAGAACGGCTCCGGGGGTGCGTTCACCAGGCGCAGCGATCACAGCCACGCGACTGACGGCGAAGCTACGGGACCCGAGAGTAGGCGAGCGGCCTTCCAGGAGGGACTGTCCGTCATCCGAACTTGACCCCCGGCCAGACAGCCTGGGAGTTCCTCAGAGCAGCTGCCAACACAGGAGGCAGGGTTCGCACATGGGGGACCTGAGACAAGCAGCCGGAGGAGGGGAGGAAACCGCTCCAGGCTCCGGACTCAGGGCAGCAGCGGGCTGCGCTGCAGGACAGACGCAGGAGAGGCAGCCCCCAGCGCGTCTCCTGCTCCGCCGTCAGTGGCGAGGGGAGAGGACCCAGGAGGCAGCCGAGATGGGGGCCTGGAGGCGAGGCTCTGGAAGCTGGATCCGCACAAAGAGTGCCCACCTCCCCCCAGGGATGAAACACAGCTCTGAATCCCAAATGGGGTAGGTGACGGAGGGCGGTGGGAAATGCATGGCCGCTGGGTCTCGAGGGCTCCCTCCAGCTCTGCCGGGAAGGCAGGCTCACAGAGGAGGTCCGTTGACGCCTGGGTGGTAGAAGGCACAGAGGTCCTCACACCGACAGCGCCCTTTTTTGGCAAAGTGTCGGCAGACTGGGCGGTTAGATTTGTCTGTGAACAAGTGAAAACAAGGCAATTTAAAGTGTGAGAAAGCAAACAATGTAACAGAAAGGAGGGCAGTCAGACCTCCTGCTCTCCGCCCTTTCCAGGCACTTTGGAAGGGTAGTCTTTCTCCTGGGAGAAAAACATTCAGAGCGACTCCCACTTCAGAAGGACCAGGGAAGAGTCCTGGTCGCCCTGAGTGATGGGGACCCGATGTATACAGGCATTAACAAGTGACCTCACCTTCCATAACCTGGGGTTCATCCTCGAGGGGGCAGGTCTTTTTGACAAGCGACCAGCTTTTGAGCCTTCGAGGATGTCTCTGTTCTTCGTGAAAGCCTCCCCCAGGCGAGCGGCCTTCCAGGAGGGACTGTCCGTCATCCGAACTTGACCCCCGGCCAGACAGCCTGGGAGTTCCTCAGAGCAGCTGCCAACACAGGAGGCAGGGTTCGCACATGGGGGACCTGAGACAAGCAGCCGGAGGAGGGGAGGAAACCGCTCCAGGCTCCGGACTCAGGGCAGCAGCGGGCTGCGCTGCAGGACAGACGCAGGAGAGGCAGCCCCCAGCGCGTCTCCTGCTCCGCCGTCAGTGGCGAGGGGAGAGGACCCAGGAGGCAGCCGAGATGGGGGCCTGGAGGCGAGGCTCTGGAAGCTGGATCCGCACAAAGAGTGCCCACCTCCCCCCAGGGATGAAACACAGCTCTGAATCCCAAATGGGGTAGGTGACGGAGGGCGGTGGGAAATGCATGGCCGCTGGGTCTCGAGGGCTCCCTCCAGCTCTGCCGGGAAGGCAGGCTCACAGAGGAGGTCCGTTGACGCCTGGGTGGTAGAAGGCACAGAGGTCCTCACACCGACAGCGCCCTTTTTTGGCAAAGTGTCGGCAGACCGGGCGGTTAGATTTGTCGTCCATAACCTGGGGTTCATCCTCGAGAGGGCAGGTCTTCTTGACAAGCGACCAGCTCTTGAGCCTTCGAGGATGTCTGTTCTTCGTGAAAGCTTCTCCTGGGGGGACTACCTTGGTCCGGCCCAGGAAAGGAGGCTCAGCACTGACCGCCCACCACCTCCCCCCCCCAACCGCGACCATATGGGCGAAACCTGGGGCCGAAGCCTCACCACACTGGACCTCTGCTCCGGGGAGCAGGTGGGAGACGCCGCAATGGTGGAATCATCAGTCCCCTTGATCCTGGGGGACCTCTGCGAACAGCTGACTTGGGGTCCCCAGGCTGTCCACTGGCCATGGGGGGAGGGCCCGGAGGCTGGGTGGTGCTGGGGAGGCGGCTGCAGCTGAGTCGACTTCTGTTTCGGCAACGTGGCAGCGGCGGGAGGAGGAGTGGAGGGGGGCGGGAGCGCGGACTTCTGTTTCCGCTTCCGGGGCGGCGGCGGGGGCAGAGGCGCCCCGTGAAGTTTCCGGGAGGCTGCGGGAGCCTTTGTGCGGTTTCTCAGGTCACCCTCCCCTCGCCGCCGCCCCCACTGCGCTCGCGAAGGTCCGGCCTCCTCCATTCCATCGTGTAGATGTACCACAGTTTTCTAATCCATTCATCTACTGATGGGCACTTAGGCTGTTTCCAGATCTTAGCTATGGTGAATTGTGCTGCTATGAACATATGGGTGCACATATCCTTTCTGATTGGTGTTTCTGGTTTCTTGGGATATATTCCTAGAAGTGGGATCACAGGGTCAAATGGGAGTTCCATTTCCAGTTTTTTGAGGAAACTCCATACTGTCTTCCATAGTGGCTGCACCAGTCTGCATTCCCACCAGCAGTGCACAAGTGTTCCTTTTTCTCCACATCCTCTCCAGCACTTGTCGTTTGTTGATTTGTTGATGATAGCCATTCTGACAGGTGTGAGATGGTACCTCATTGTTGTTTTGATTTGCATCTCTCGGATGATTAGTGACTTTGAGCATGTTTTCATATGTCTCTTGGCTTTCTGAATGTCCTCTTTTGAAAGGTGTCTATTTAGATCCTTTGCCCATTTTTTGATTGGATTGTTTATCTTCTTTTTGTTAAGTTGTATGAGTTCCCTATAAATTTTGGAGATTAGGCCCTTATCAGATATGACGTTGGCAAATATGTTTTCCCACGCAGTGGGTTTTCTTGTTGTTTTGTTGATGGTTTCTTTTGCTGTGCAGAAGCTTTTTATTTTGATGTAGTCCCATTTGTTCATTTTCTCTTTAGTTTCAACTGCCCTAGGAGCTGTATCAGTGAAGAAATTGCTTTGGCATATGTCTGAGATTTTGTTGCCTTTGGATTCTTCTAGAATTTTTATGGTTTCCTGTCGTACATTTAAGTCCTTTATCCATTTTGAGTTTATTTTTGTGTATGGTGTAAGTTGGTGGTCTAGTTTCATTTTCTTGCATGTATCTGTCCAATTTTCCCAGCACCATTTATTGAAGAGACTGTCTTGACTCCATTGTATGTTCTTGCCTCCTTTGTCAAATATTAATTGAGCGTATTGGTTGGGGCTGATTTCTGGGCTCTCTATTCTATTCCATTGATCTATATGTCTGTTCTTGTGCCAGTACCAGGCAGTTTTGAGAACAGTGGCTTTGTAATACAGCTTGATATCTGGTATTGAGATCCCACCTACTTTGTTCTTTCTCAGGATCGCTGCAGCTATTCGGGGTCGTTTTTTGTTCCAGATGAATTTTTGGAGAGTTCGTTCTAGATCTTTGAAGTAGGCCATTGGTATTTTAATGGGAAGTGCGTTGAATTTATAGATTGCTTTGGGTAGTATGGACATTTTAATGATGTTGATTCTACCAATCCATGAACACGGTATGTTCTTCCATCTGTTTATGTCTTCCTCTATCTCTTTTTTCAATGTCCTGTAGTTTTCTGAGTAGAGGTCTTTTACCTCTTTAGTTAAGTTTATTCCTAGGTATCTTAATTTTTTTGGTGCGATGGTAAATGGGATTGTTTTTCTAATCTCTCTTTCTGAAAGTTCACTATTGGTGTATAGAAATGCCTCAGATTTCTTGGGGTTAATTTTGTATCCTGCTACATTGCCAAATTCATGTATTAAGTCTAGTAGTTTTTTGATGGAGTCTCTAGGGTTTTGTATGTATAATATCATGTCGTCTGCAAATAAGGACAGTTTTACTTCCTCTTTTCCAATTTGGATGCCTTTTATTTCTTCTTCTTGCCTAATTGCAATGGCTAATACTTCCAGTACTATGTTGAACACGAGTGGTGAGAGTGGGCTGTCCATGTTTTTATACTGAACAAGAGTAAGAACATTTTTTCTATCAGGAGTTCATGAGCAAGTAAAAAACAACTTAATTATTTGGGGGTTCTTTTGTTTTTGAGAGACAAAACTTGCAATTAATTTGGCTTTAAAATTAAGAACATCAAAAATAAAACTTTACTAAACCATGGAAATAAATTTTCTTTTTAAATTGCCCCTTTTGGATTTTCATATTCCTGTCATTTCTCTCCAAATGAACCAGAGTGAAAGTCTGGGAGCCATCTCTTTTATTCTGCCTTCTTCATACACCTCACCTTTATACTTCTAGCTTATCTCAACTATACTCATGCTGTCAATCACAAAATCTCAGGATTGTATTCCCATGTGCACCATTCCATTTCCTCTGAATATCTTAGCCTGAGTCTTCAGGTGTCTCACTGCCAAGTTATTGCCATTTGTCTCACTGCCTCCAATCTCTGGAGGAGTTTCAAGCTTATTTGCCTAAAGAGTCAGGTAAGTAAAGAGTGAAATGAGCTGGATGAGCACAGACCTCTTTAAATTGTTCCAGACAATTGTTGCTTCATCAGGGATGATGGGGCAGTGTTGAGAGAAATCCAACTTTCCAAGAAAAGCCAGAGATTCCCAGAGTTTCCACAGGCCATCTCACTCCCCTTGGATTCCTAGAATTGCAGGGACAAAAAGAAGGATGCTCTGTGCCTGGGAGATAGGTTGTGCAAGGTACTGTGCTGGCCAAACATCTTGAAGTGGTCCCTGAAGTGATCCGCAATGACTCCTTATAGATAGGTGCCTTGCCCCCTGGCTCATCATCCTAGCCATGTGCCACCCAGAGGAGTGTCTAGTAAAACAGTTCAGTTGAACCAGGATGATGGTGACGAATCATCTAATCTAGAGCAATTGAAACTGCACCAGTCACTTGCTCTGGACTTTGAACTTTAAATAGTGAGTTAATTGGTAGGGACAGTGAAAGTGTCACAGCAATGAAAAGAATTAGAATAAGGGTCAGCAAATATCTGCTAAAGAGTGACAAAACAGAACCAGTGCCTGGCTCAGAGCAGCAGTAGCAGCAGCAGCAGCAGCAGCAGCACTGTGGCTGCCAAAGGTTTCTCTGACCAGTGTCTCTCCCTCTGGTCTACAGCATGGGAAATATCTTTGCAAACCTCTCCAAGGGCCTTTTTGGCAAAAAAGAAATGCGTATTCTCATGGTGGGCTTGGACGGTGCTGGGAAGACCACTATCCTGTACAAACTGAAGTTGGGTGAGATCTTGACCACCATTCCCACGATAGGTTTCAACGTGGAGACTGTGAAGTATAAGAATATCAGCTTTATCGTGTGGGACGCAAACAGCCAGGACAAGATTCGGCCTCTGTGGCGCCACTGCTGCCCAAACGGACAAGGGCTCATCTTTGTGGTTGACAGCACTGACCAAGAACACATGGACGAGGCCAGAGAGGCGCTCATGCGGATGGTGGTGGAGTTCACTGATATTGTCCTGCTAGTGTTTGCAAACAAGCAGGACCTCCCCAATGCCATGAACGCAGCTGAGATCACAGACAAGCTGGGCCTGAACTCTCTGCACCACAGGAACTGGTACCTTCAGGCCACCTCTGCCATCACTGGGGCTGGGCTCTATGAGGGACTGGACTGGCTGGCCAATCAGTTCCAGAACCAGAACTGAGCCACACTCCTCTCTTCCCCCTCACTCCCTCCTCCACCCTTGCTTTCCTGTCCATGTGGCAGATGTATCCCTGTGGTGTGAGTGCCAGAAGCTGTCCCCATGGTTGGTCTCAGTGTGCTTCATCATGCTGTGCATGTGCAGATGCAGCCTACACCCGGGTTTTTATTTAAATAGTTCTTGTTTCCAATGAGGCAGTTTCTGATACTCCTATGCAATATTACCCATGCAATATTATGCAAAGGAAGGCAGCCAATCAGCTGATCAATGTTTCTCTCTCGCTCTCTCTCTCGCCCTCTCGTTCTCTCTCGCCCCTCCTCTCTCTCTCTAAAAATCAATAAAAACATTTTTAAAACTTGGAGCACTGCAGTATTTTCTAAAAAGGAAGCATGCTGTTTTTCTCATGAGATTTTAGCTGACTAGAAGTACAGGATTAAATAGACTATACCGGGACCTGAAAAATAAAGGAGATTTAACACGGTATGTTTCATTTTCACGGAAATGTTCCATTTTCATTAATATATTTTACATTTCTTGTAAGTAGTTGAAGTCTTATTTTCTGAAAATGCCAAATTAAGTAGCCAGAGGTAAACAGATTGGAAGCAGTGATTTCCATGGAGGCAAACAGATTTCCATGTTTTCATACTGAACAAGAGTAAGAACACTTTTTCTATCAGGGGTTCATAAGCAAGTAAAAAACAACTTAATTATTTGGGGGTTCTTTTGTTTTTGAGAGACAAAATAAAATTTGCAAATAATTTGACTTTAAAATTAAGAAGATCAAAAATGAATCCTTACTAAACCACGGAAGTAAATTTTCTCTTCAAATTGCCCTTTTGGATTTTCATATTCCTGTCAAGGCTATCATTTCTCTCCAAATGAACCAGATTGAAAGTCTGAGAGCCATCTCTTTTATTCTGCCTTCTTCTTACACCTCACCCTTATACTTCTACCTGGTCTGGTCTCTCCATTAGACTCATGCTGTCAGTCACCAAGTCTCAGGATTGTATTCCCATGTGCACCATTCCATTTCCTCTGAATATCTTAGCCTGAGTCCTCAGGTGCCTTTAGCTCTTTTTCCCACTCTTTAATACGTGGTTTACTTTTCAATTAAAACAAAAACAAAAAGAAACTCCTCTAAAGAAACTGTTGAATTAACAAAAGTAAAACCAAGGCATGCTCTGGAACCAAAAGCTTCAAGAGCCCTGAAGACTACCCAAGATTTACTTCAGCCTTGAATTGTCTTGCTACCTCCATGATTGGCCCTTTGGGCCCGGACAAGAGCATCGGACCTTTTTCTTTATATCATATAGCACAGATGAAACCAGGTCTGAATATTAAAATGAGACTTTACTAAGGGCCTATAGGAATTAGAGACAAAGAGTAACACAAAATCCAATAATCTGATTCATAAAACCTGGATTGCTCTCTTCTGGCAGTCCATTCCAGCTCATGGTCTCTTGGTGGCCACCATTTTAGTGCCATTTATCCAGGTGATAAGATTACCTTTCTTTTTTTTCTTCTTTTTAAAAATATTTTTTTATAAAAGTTTATTTGAGCCAAACTGAGGACACATGCTGGGACGCAAGATTTCAAATGCTCTCGCAAGGTTACCTTTCTTAAAGTACAGAATCCAGGGTCTAACAGGAAGCCTACCATTCAGGCCTCAAAAGAATACACTAAATACCACACACAATAACTTACAATAATACGTGTCCTTGATTAAGGGCCTCACTGAACTGACTGCAATTAACAGCCCCTGGAAGATAAATTATTCCCCAGGACAATGTTATGTTACCCCTAGATAAAGTCAAACCTTAGGCCTTGGGATATAGTACAAAGAGCACTGGACTAGGCATTAAGAGTTCAAGTGATTTAGTCCCCGACTCACTGTGTAACCCTTACCCAATGTACTTCATCTTTAGCGGCTTTTTAAACATCATGTGTATTTTATATAGAACCTATCTCAACGTATTTTTTAGGATTAGAGTAATCCTTTAGATTAGAATAAAATGAGAGAAGAGATGAAAAGTGCCTTGAAAAAGTAGAAACTGTTAAAAACAAATGAATTAACTCATTCCAAAGGTTTCATAAACTTTGTCTACTCTTCACCAACTCTTGCCAGGCCATTCTCCTCACCAGGTCCTAATTAAATTTGTAGACCAGAAAATTTGAATTAAAGGCTCTCTAAGATCTTTTACAGCTCTTGAAGTATATGATTACCATTCATCCAATGAACAGAAGCACTTACTATGTATTAAGCGTTGGAAACACAAAAAAATGAGTAAATCTAGCAAATATGATAAAATCCAACAATCATTAATGATGGGCTATAGTATTAAAAGTTTATATAAAGGACAGAGACCAAGATGGCGGCATAGGTAAACACCGGAGACTGCTGCCGCAAACAACCACTTCAAAAATACAACTAAAAGACGGAACAGACATCACCCAGAACCACAGGAAGGCTGGCTGAGGAGAGACTCTTCAACTAGAAGGAAAAATAACAGCACACCGAGGCTCAGAGGAGGCGCAGTGTGGAAAATACTCAGGTGCGGAGGTGCGCGCACAAAGCGGGCTGGTGGCTGAGGGCGCGGTTGTTGTTTTTGGTCAGGGGGAGTCTCAGACTCTGAGCTCCAGATCTGGGCGAATCTCTGGGGACTCGGACTCAAACGGGAGAAGCGGGATTGTCTGGCATCAGTTGGAAGGCAGCTTTCGCTCCGAGGTTTGCAGCGGTTCCTGGGGTTCTGAGAAGCAGAGCCTCTGGGAACGGGACTGAGAGCAGCCATAACCGCTCCCTCCGCCCGCCCTGCCCTGTTGAGCCCGCCCCGCCCAAGCCCTGCGCAGAGCCATTTGCCAGATCGCCTCAGGCAAAGGCTAGATTAGCACCTCCCCAGAGGACAGAAGTTTTCCGCGGCAGACACAGCTGATTCACACAGCCAGTCGGCCTGGTGGTCAAATCCCTCTAGTATTAACTACAACAATCAAGGCTCAACTAGAACAAGACTGCGCACAAAGACCACTAGGGGGTGCACCAAGAAAGCATAAAAAATGCGGAGACAAAAAAACATGACAGAAATGGAGGATATAGAGCTAAAAAACGCAATTTTGAGGGCTTGCAATAAACTTTTGGAGAGCCTCACGAAAACTAATGAGACCCTCGATGCTATGATAAAGAAACAACTAGAAATTAAGCATACACGGTCGGAAATAAAGAATATTACACCCAATAGCAGACCAGAGGAGCGCAAGAATCAAGCCAAAGATTTGAAATGCGAAGAAGCAAAAAACACCCAACCGGAAAAGCAAAATGAAAAAAGAATCCGAAAATACGAAGATAGTGTAAGGAGCCTCTGGGACAGCTTCAAGCGTACCAACATCAGAATAATAGGGGTGCCAGAAGATGAGAGAGAGCAAGAAATTGAAAACCTATTTGAAGAAATAATGGCAGAAAACTTCCCCCACCTGGTGAAAGAAATGGACTTACAGGTCCAAGAAGCGCAGAGAACCCCAAACAAAAGGAATCCAAAGAGGACCACACCAAGACACATCATAATTAAAATGCCAAGAGCAAAAGACAAAGAGAGAATCTTAAAAGCAGCAAGAGAAAGAAACTCAGTTACCTACAAGGGAATACCCATACGACTGTCAGCTGATTTCTCAACAGAAACTTGGCAGGCCAGAAGGGAATGGCAAGAAATATTCAAAGTGATGAATACCAAGAACCTACAACCAAGATTACTTTATCCAGCAAAGCTATCATTCAGAATTGAAGGTCAGATAAAGAGCTTCACAGATAAGGAAAAGCTAAAGGAGTTCATCACCACTAAACCAGTATTATACGAAATGCTGAAAGGTATCCTTTAAGAGGAGGAAGAAGAAAAAGGTAAAGATACAAATTGTGAACAACAAACATGCATCTATCAACAAGTGAATCTAAGAACCAAGTGAATAAATAATCTGATGTACAGAATGAACTGGTGATTATAATGAATCAGGGACATAGAAAGGGAATGGACTGACTATTCTTGGGGGGGAAAGGGGAATGGGAGATGCGGGAAGAAACTGGACAAAAATCGTGCACCTATGGATGAGGACAGTGGGTGGGGAGTGAGGGCGGAGGGTGGGGCGGGAACTGGGAGGAGGGGAGTCAGGGGGGGGAAAAAAAGAGGAACAAATGTAACCTGAACAAAAAAGATTTAATTAAAAAAAAAAAAAAAAACTGTGGTACATCTACACAATGGAATACTACACTGCAGTAAAAAAAAAGAAGGAATTCTTACCATTTACAACAGCATGGATGGAACTGGAGATCATTATGCTAAGTGAAATATCCCAGTCAGAGCAATATAAATATCACATGATCTCACTCATTTATGGAATATAATGAAAAATATAAACTGATGAACAAAAACAGATCCAGAGACAGAGAAGCATCGATCAGACCTTCAAACCTCAGAGGGAAGGTAAGAGAGGGTGGGGGTAAGGGGGAGAGATCAACCAAAGGACTTGCATGCAT